AACCCCTCAACCCTAAACCCCTGAATACAGCGAGTTGGACACAGAGCCTAAACCCGCCCGGGCAGTCTGAAGACCAGCGACCTGGAACCCAAACCCCCAAATGAAATCTAAACCCAAAGCCGCTGACCTCGACACCCCGGAGAGTGTTTAGGGTTATAGGGCTATAGGGTTATAGGGTTTAGGGTTATAGGGTGTAGGGTTATAGGGTTTAGGGATATAAGGTTTCGGATTTAGGGTTCAGCTCAGCAACATAAGCCACAGCGTACCTCTTGCTACCGGCGGCCGCGCTCCAGCGCGCTGGCCTCGGCCACTCCCAAATCGCAGCTCCAGCTGCCATCTTGGTCAGACCTGATGTGGCTGCTTGGGGTTTGGGCTTTGTGGCCATCATTGTCAGACCTGTTGTTTAGGGTTCATGTAGCGGCCGTGAGAAGCAAAAGAGGGCTCTGTAAGGACCTTTTATTCTGCAAGGTGTTATAGGGCCTGGCCTTGTCAGGGTTATATTAATGCGGCTTCTTGCAGCGCGCTTTTTGGGTTCACAAGGGTTGTCTTTCGCGTCCTGAAGATCAGAAAAAGGGTTCTGGGGCATATTCCGACCACGAGGGGATAGTAGGTGCTACTGGTTCAAACCTCTATATGGGTAGTTCTCTAAATTTAAGTAGGATCCCTTTTCCCCGTTTGGGGCCCCAACAGAGTACGGCGCTCTTATAAACAGGATCCCAAAAGGGACCCTCATTTAGAGAGTTACCCATATACGCCTTGCAGGCTCACGAAGCTTAAAGAAGATGGTAGGGTTTATTCACTGGTCAGAGTTTCGAAGCTGAAGGGATCAAATCAGCACACAGGGTTACGTAAGGCTGTGAAGCTCACGGCCCACGCATTGCAGGAGCGGGGCTAGGCCAAGAAACAATGAACCCGAAGCTTCCTGAGCCCCAAACTTACGCCATGCCTTCTTGCTAAAGCCTGAACTTCCCGCCCTGAACTCTCCGACACCCTACTAAGCGTTCCTAAAGCCTAAACCCTAAAACGGTGCTAAATTTTCCTAAGCCCTCGCCAACACGGCCGTTTGAGGCCCGGCTTTGCGGGAAGGTATAGTGCAAATTGGCTACAATAAGGAGCCCTTGGGAATAACATTAGTAATCATAACATAAGTATAATGTCATAATATAAGGAACCGTCAGAAATATATTCAGGCGATCTATATTACTTTCCCTTGAGGCGGCCTTCAGTTTGCTCTGACACGACTGCTCGGTTCTGCAAGAGCGCAACCGCAATCAACACCTTGGCTCCCCATGGCTGCGGTGGCTTAGAGCTTAGGGTTTAGGGTTTTGGGTTCGGTTTGATTCCTTGGGTTGAGAGTGGGGTGGGTAGAAACCCTCACCCTAAACCCTAAACCGTAGTGCTGTGGACATGCTTTCGAGCCACAGCCGAACCCCATGTGGATTACTAGACCCAAGAGTAACTTAGTAATAAAAAGGGTGCCCTTTTTGGTTTAAAGGACTTTATAAGGGAACCTGAACCCTAAAAAAGGGAATAAGGACCTACTCTGGGTCCTAGATTATGCATGGGCTTAGCCTGCATCCGAAACCTGACACGAAATGAGCTCCTGAGCATCACGTCGCTCGGATTTAACATGGGGGGGGGGTCTTTTACACCTAAGGTTATGAGCGGATACAACTATCAAGTTATTCCGTTTGGGGCCAAGGGGCAGTGATGCATCCAGCTGCCGGAATGGCCACGCGAACGAAGAAGGCAGGATTCTCGCGCGCTTCACTGGAGCTGCCGGATGCATTCTCCGGGCAATCCGCGTGCAGTCGTTGGTACACCCGCCGTGCAACCCCATGAAGAAAGAGAGCCATCTCAACATTGCTTCGCAAGAGTACGGAGGCAAGCCCACTAGTCAGAGACGTGTGGAACCATCTTCGAGTTTGGGCCACGGCTTCAGGGTTCAAACCGGCTCTTATCAAAGCAACTTGGAACTTGGCTGGAACAACCTTTATGGCATAAGGCAGTTGGTCACCATGCTTTGTATCAGACAGCTGCTCTCGACGACGTGGTTGTCTTCCTGGCTTCTAATCTTTATCGCAGGCAAGGAAACTGTCAAAGCAGAAGTGGAAACCATGAACAGAGGTTTATAGCAGGCAAACCGACATTCCCCAATTTCTACGACTTGCCGACAGTTTGCACATCAGGAACCAACGTGAGATTCTCCCGTAATCCAAAACTGACATAGCTTCACCCAGCCCCAAACAGCGGGCTCACTTAGAAAGCAATCCCATACGGGACCCAAGACCATATTTTTTGGGGCTTTATGTTGGGATTGCTTCAAAGTTGTATATTATCAACAAGCGCGGCAGTGGATTACCATGGTAAATGTCCAGAGTCAGAAGACCTTTCATCAGTTCGTCTCCAGGATTCACGAAAAGCCCCCCAACGTTAGGTTTAGTGCTACTGTTCGGATGTATGGCTTCGGCCTCCCCATTCACCAGTTTAGGGCCGTAGGGAACAGTATGACAAAATACAGCCTATGAGGTGGTTTCTGATGATCCGAATTTCTCCCTGCTTCAAATTAAAGCATATCATGACTCAGCATGGTGCAGCATAGCAGAGCAAAGCGTGAAACAGCAGAACAAAGGAAACCAGCATAACTTAATACAGCACAACGAACCGTAGCACGACGAAGCATGCTATACCAAAACACAACACAAGGAACATAACACTATTTAACAAGCCTAACATAACATGGCAGAACACACAATATCTGAACATGATTCCATAACACTGACATAACATATCACAACATAACACACCATGACACAATACAAGACAATATAGCACGGCATAGCATAGCACAGGATTGCACAGCATTGCACAACACAGCATAGCATAGCGTGCTGCAACATAATGAGATAATATGCTGCAATAGGGTTCAGCAGGCTATTTACAATGTAATGTCCGTAGATTGCCGGAAGAATACGACTCGGCTTTTCAGGGTTTCTACACAACAAAAAAATCAGGAATCCCTAAAGAACATGATCAGTATCTATTCATACAAATCTCTAAATGGGTCGTTCTGTATATTAGGGTCCCTCTTCAGGTCCCCAGTATGCTACGGCCCCCTCATAACAAAGGGACCCCAAAAGGGACCCTAATCTAGAGAACTACCTATATCACGGGTCTCAGGTTCCAGTCAGGTGTTTGGGCTTCCGGCAGTCGGACACTTCGAAACTGGCATGAAGAGCCATCGGGACGCAACTCTGGTGGCGAGCCGAGATGTCATATATAGGGCCTAAATGAGTACCAAGACGATTTTGGCAGGTTCCCTATTACAGTTACAGTAGAATATGCCCCAAAACCCCATTCTGTCTGTTAAGGCCCCTAGATGTAATGGTCTTCAGATACCGGGTTGGGGCACTTGGTGTTTTAGGTTTCTTGGTTTGGTGATCCTCGTGTTGGGCTTCCGGATTTGTGTTTTTTTGGAAGCACGCCGAATGCGGAAAGGGCGCTGAGTCACAGAAATGCTCTTTCGAGAAAACTTGATACTGCCAAACAGTGCTCCTACAAAATGCCATATGGCACGTTTCGGGGACAGAACCCTTTAGAGAGTTAAACAGGGTCAACCATACTTTCTCACAGCTCCTGTATTCAGCCAAGAAGCGGCGCATTTCGAGGTGGAGGCGTGGTGGAACGTCGGCTCTGGGGTGGCTGGCTTCGGCTGCGCAGCTTCGCCTCCTGAGCTTCCGGTGCCATTTTTTGTAGTCCGTAGGCTTCCTTCATGCAACCCTGGTGCAACATACTCCAAAAAAACCCTGTACTCCTTCTAATCCCTAAACCCTAAACCCCTAAACCCGAAAGATCAAGCTATGAGCCCCAATACTCTGAGGCGTGAAGGTGTGGCTTTGGGCTCCCACGCTTTTGGGACCGGAAGGTTTCAGGGACCGGGGGATGTCTTCAGGTTAGGAGGTTTGGGCTTCAGGGTTTTAGGGATTGGGGAAACCCTAAACCCTAAACCCTCAGCCCCCTGTCTGCCTCTGGTCCATCACTGAAGCAGTAGAGTATTTCAATACAATAGACACGGCATCCAAGAAATCCTTGAAATCCACTGTGTTGGAAAACTGGGCCCCCCCACAGCGTCCTTTTCTGAAGCTCTCCAAGTCCATCGAGGCTTCACCTTGTGATGAGGGCAAAGCGCGGAAAGAGCGGTTTGGAGACTGAGCCTTGAGGATTCCAGGTCAAGGGTTTAGGGCCTGTGGCTTTGGGGCTTTAGGGGTTGAGGGTTTAGGGTGGGGCTAAAGGCTTAGGGGTTTAGGGTTAGGGTTTGGGGTTAAAGGTCTAGGGTTTAGGTTTAGGGTTCTTCGATTTTTTTGTGTTCTTTTCAACTTTTGGGTGCCCTAACTCTGCTGAACGTAGGCTCACAGCTTTTTTGCATCAGGTTTTATCTATCGTAGCCTATGAACCCGTGTAACAGCCGCACAAAACCGCTTCAAGCCCCCATTTCACCTTGTACGAAAGCCCTCATAGAACCCTTGTGAAGCGCTTATGACGCCGCCTTAACCCTGAGCCCTAAACCCTCCGCCCTAAGCCCTAACCCCTAAACCCCTGTACTAAGCCCTAAACCCTAAACCCTAAACTCTAAACTTCCTAAACCCCTACCCCCTAAGCCCTACAACCTCTTAAAAAGAGCCCGGCCTACAAACTCTCAAAAAAGGAGCCCTTCTTCCTGACGGCCTTCAGGGGGCCCGGCCGTGCTGTGGCCGGAGACCATGGTGGAGACCTCCGTCGCCGTGTCCTGAAACTCCGAAGCTGGCTTCCTCGGAAGCTTTCACGGTTCCTTTAAGGGCTTTAGGGTTTAGGGGTTGCCTTTAGAGTTTAGGGTTTAGGGGTTCCTTTTGGGGTTTAGGGTTTAGGGGTAAGGGCTCCGGTTTAGGGTTGAGGATTCAGGGTTACTATCCGGGTTTAAGGGTTTATAGGGTTTAGGCCTTAGGCTTTATGGGGGTTCGTATCAGGGTTCTTCAAGGGTTCCTGGGTGAGGGTGCTAGAAGCCTAGCAGCATTCAAAAAAACGGCGTCCTCAGAGATGTCTCAGGGATCCTAGAAGGGCTCCCATAAGGGCTGCTATCAGGGTTCCTGTGAGGGTTCCCCTTAATGCTTCTCTCCGGGTGTGGTAAGGGTGCAAAAACGCTTCCTCGTCGACAAGCATTTAGGGTTAAGGGTTCCTTCAGTGAGCTCTGCAAAGGTTCTATACGGGAACTATATGTATTCCAGAAAGAGATGGATGGAAACGAATCCGGATAAACTGTTTTGGGGATAGCTCGAAAGGGGCTCCTCTAAGGGCGCCTTGAACGGAATTTGGGTCGTGGGGTGTTATACCATAGTTGTTGCTGGGAGCCCCTAACGAATACGGACATGGCACCCTTAAAGAAACCCTAGATGAAGCCCTGAAGAATCGAAAAGCATTATAGAGCCCCTTTAAAGTCCAAGTCACAGCTTCAAACCCCAACCCTTTAAAAGGAAGCCCTCCAAAACCTGAAAGAGCCCTTTGCCAGGAGCCCTTTGAAGGAACCCCTTCAAAGCCTACTGACACCCCACAGAGATCTTGACAAGCCCTGGAAAGGAACCCCTCCAAACCCTAAACTGTAACCTCATCTAGCCCTTTACAAAAGCCCTTGAAAGGAACTCCTTCCCCCCCCCCCCAAAACCCTAAACCCTAACCCCCCACCCCCCCCCTCCCCAAAAACAAAAAGAAAGAAAAAAAGAGCACCGAGGCCAACAGCGGCCAGGAGTCTTCGGCACCCAGCGCAACGTCTTCGGCGCTTCGGGAAGATGCTTCCAAGCCTTGCTCTTCGAGGGCTTTTCTTTTGGGTTTAAGCTCCTTTGGGGTATTGGGGCCTTAGGGCTTTTCTTTTGGGTTTCAGTACTTTGGGGTATTGGGGCCTTCGCCCTCAAAAAACCTACGGCTTTAAGGACTTACAACAAAGACATCATGACAAGGAGGCCATACGTAATTAGATAGAGGTTTAGGGTATGCTTTGTGGGTTTGGCTGTTTAATGTCTTCATGAGTTTGGTAAGGTTTGGCACTCCAAAAGCTTTGGATGTTTGGTTTAGGTTTCGCGTGTTAGTGGTTTCTGGTTGTGGTTGTTGTTTGTTTGTTTGTTTGTTTGTTTGATTTTTGTTTATTGTTTGGTGTTTGATGTTTGGTGTTTGGTGTTTGGTGTTTGTTGTTTGTTGTCTGTTGTTGTTGTTGTTGCTGTTGTTGTTTGTTTGTTTGTTTGATCTTTGTTTATCGTTTATTGTTTATTGTTTGGTGTTTGGTGTTTGTTGTTTGTTGTCTGTTGTTGTTGTTGTTGCTGTTGTTGTTTGTTGTTTGTTGTTTGTTGTTTGTTGTTTGTTGTTTGCTGTTTGTTGTTTGTTCATTGTTGTTGTTGTTGTTGCTGCTGGTGTTGGTGTTGGTGTTGGTGTTGTTGTTGTTGTCGTCTGTTATTGAGCCTCTCGTCATGTATGGTAGCTTACAAAAAGCATTATAAGTGCAAGCCCGAAGCTGCAGACAAGTTACTTGGCTTCCTCCAAACTCCACCCAAAGTGCACTTGCTTCCATTCTAGGGTCTATCTTGGGGTTTAGGTTTAGGGGTCTAGGGGGAATGAAGTATTTGTACAGGAGTCGACAAAAAGAGTAGGGCTGTGATCGTTGAAAGTAGCGTAGGCATAGAATCCTACACCTGATCCCATCAAAAAATCTGGTACCCAGACTCCTCTAGCGAATTTGACCACGGCCTTGTAGGATGTGGGGACAAAAAACAAGAACCCAATTACCCAAGAGCCACGAACCCTAAACCCTAAACCATGAAACTTATCTGGATGCCTAGGTCCTCAAATCGTTTTTTGGGAACATGTCTGATTTTCTGATTAAACAAAGATTCTGCTTTTTGACCAGACAAAATGGGGAAGTAGGCCCTGAAAGCTCAAGGCTTAACCTAAGGCACTCAGGTGCAGCCTGTTAGTTTCGGCTCCAAACGAAACCCTACATTTGATTTCAATTCGATTTTTCTTTGATTTCGGCTCCAAGCGACAGATTTCAATTTGATTTTTTGATTTCGGCACCAAGCGACAAATTTCGTTTGTTTATTTGATTTTTTGATTTTTAACTTTTTGATGGGTTTTACAAATCTCCTGTCTTATAAAACTATCCAGGATCATAAGCCTAGGAAGCCCAGATTCCCGAGTCTTTCCAGTAAACATGAGGGTAAGTCTCTAAATTGGGATCCCTTTTTGTGGTCCCCAATATAGTACCGCACCCTTATATAAAAAGAAAGGACCCTCAAAGGGACCCTAAGAACTACCCATGAAGCAATTCAATGTGGGACCCGACTGGTCCTGAAGAGGCTTCCCCGTAAGGCTTCAACTTCAATGTTCCACCGGGCTCTCGGGGCGTTTCTTATCTTAGGGGCCGAGTACCTTAGCCCAAAATAAGGTTCACGTTTTGAATTATAGATAGGTTTATAGGAGCCTCAAAAGGTTAAAGGTCACCTACTCAGCCCCTAAGTTATGGGTCTTCACAGTTAGCCATGGAGTCTTTGTGGGTAGGATCGTGTGTTTAGATTATGGATTAAATTGGGGGAAGATCCTGGCAACAGTTCAGGCCCCTCCTTAAATCCCTCAACCCAAACCTAAAACCTGAACGGCTCCTGCAGTCTGGTGGACACCCGAAAGACTATAAAACTCGGAGGTACGGAAACCTGAAACCCTAAACCCCATCGGGTTTGTGCGTATGGGGGTTGTAAAGTTCCATAGCCAGTTATGGTCCTGTAAGAACCCTAAGCCTTAACCCTAAACCCTGAACCCTAAATCCTTCCGTTTATGGGCCTCCATAAGGGTTCCTGCTACATGTAAGGCAATGCTAGAGCAATCACCAACGAGAGCCCCAACCTAACGTACTTGCAACCCATACCCTCAACAGTAGATTAAGGGACTAGGCTTTTGAGGTTTTTAGAATGTGGTTCTACTCAGGAACCCAAGCCCTCAAGTATCCACGAACCTTCGTGCAGAAATCCCCGAAGATGGAGTAGCATGATGTTAGGAATGCCCCTGTAGATTGATGCATGTTGCGACTTCGGGCTACTGGATCAGTTTGAAGACCTTAAATCAAGGTGGCGGTTGCTGCCGCGCTGTGGTTCGTGCGAACTTCAACTCGAATCCTTCAACCGGCAGAGTGGGGCTGGCCCCGCCTGAGCCTGGTAGGGACGCGCATCCCCCTTTTCAGCTCCTCCCGTGGCCAAGTTCTCGTAAGCAACGGTGACTTAAAACCAAAGGCCTGGAGGCTAAACACAAGCGGCTTCGGGGGTTCACGTGATTTCTGATCTCTTGGGGCCTAAGGCTGCAGGCAGGGGAGCTCAAGGCAAGCTCTTAGAGTTTGGAGCTGTTGACTGGGCATTCCTGTTTTGAGTATGTGCTTCGAAGGAAACTGTTGTAGAACCACGCCCCAGATAGACAGGCTATCTGCAGGGTTTCAGGTCTAGGTTTGCAAGACGTTTGTACTTATAGCCCCGATAAAACTGACCATATTATGCTTGATCCCCAAACAAGATCTATTCACCAAAGGCCCATATTCGCGCTATCAAGGCTTCTTCTTGGCAGGACCTCTGTCATACGAACAGGGGCTTATGCCTTTCTTACCAATATCCGATATCTCGCGAAATACGCACTCACCAAAAACACGAATACCCATAGGCTCCGTAGTAGTTCCTTTTTGGGATTACCTTATAGAATTCTAAATATAAACCCCCAAAAAACAACTACTATGGAGCCTATGGGTGTACCCTACGCCCTAAACCCTAAACGCACGGATATCCGGGTAGAACCATGGGGAGCCTCGTCTGCGAGAGCTTGCGGAAGGCCTCGACAGCTCTGGGACCAAACAAACCTGCAGGTCTAAACGCCTAAACCTTAAAAAACCCTGTTCTACTACATTCTAGTATGGTATGTTACACTATACTATAATACTATATCACTTATAACAGTGTAATGCATACCCATGTAAGCCCTATACTCACTAGACACCTTATCAGGCCCCATCACAAACACTAAACACTGCTCCTCACAATTGATTCCCAACACCCTTCTGTGAAACATGGCAAAACCGAAAACCGAACGGGAACTGTCGTCCTTCCCAGCTCCACCACTGTGGACGGGAGGATGTCGACTTGGCACGCTGCCGCAGCCCCCGCTCTGTTGGCCAAGAGGACCTCTAATGCGGGGTCCGGCGCGGATACGACTCTAGCGTCCTCACAAACTCGAAGGAAGCTATGTGCTCCGTACTTCCGTCAAAGCGGCCCGCACCTCCTTGTGCCGGCCAGTGCAGGATTTCAGGGATTTCGCGATAGGGGTTAATGAAGGCGGGCCGTTCACGGGGTTTCGCGCTTGGAGGCTTTTATCTCCTCGACCCTGGTCTGAGCTTACCGACTCTGCCTAGTACTGAATCCTCACCATAGACTACAAAACCCACACGGGGTTAGGCTGCAATTCAGGTGTCAAGATCAAGTGCAGGGGATTGATTCGCCAATTCAGCATGATTAGGAACTCCAGCCTGTGCATCGTCATGATGCTTCGTACTAGCAAACTTGATTGAGGTCAAGCAGGGCTGGCTTAGGGTTCAGGGCTTCGGGATGCTAGGGCCGACAGTCACACCGGGAAAAAAGACCACAACGCTGAACCCTAACCCCAAAGCCACACAAAGAACCGGTATCCAGAAAATCACCCAAATTGGACCCAAGATGCCACTCCTCCCATGCCCACCTTGGGAAAGCGGTGTGGGCCTTTACGGGTGTGTGTGTGTGTGGGTGGGGACCTATTTTTGTTGTTAAAAAACTTCGTGCGATTCTTTGTACGCTTATGTATATGCACATGTACAAGGCGCATGCATGCATATCTGTATGTATATATATATATGTACATACACACACACACACATATATATAGAGACACATACGGTTCTTACATGTGCATATTCTAGAGACACGCGAGAGAGAGAGAGAGAGAGAGAAAAGGCTCAAGAGAAACATGGAGAAAGAGGGAGGGAGGAAGGGGGAGGAAGCGACGGAGCGCATGATGTTGGATGTTGAAGGTTGCATCGCAGCCACAGGGCTTCCAGACTTAGGTACTCACGGTTTAGGGTTTAGGGTTTAGTTTAGGCTCAGAACTCAAAACGTGCCACGCATGCCACAGACACACGGACACGCGAATTCACGCACAGACATGCACACAAATGTTTCTAAAACCCCAGGGATAAATCCCAAAGCCCGGAAGAAACGAACTTTAACTTTAAAAGGCGTGAGCCTTGGAGCCTAAACCCTACAACCTAAAGCCCTGAACCCTGCGGCCTAAGCTCAACACTCTTGTAGAACCCATGAAACCCTTATAGCACCCCTTGTACAAAACAATTTCTCAACCTTTGACATGAAATCAAAGGAACTCCTGAATGGAGCCTTGAAGGAGCCCTTGAAGGAGCCCTTAAAGGAGCCCTTCAAAGAGCCCCTTGAAGGAACCCCCTCAACGAGCCCTTAACGGAGCCCTGAAAGGAGCCCCTTAACCTTTTGAAGGAAGCAGAAAGGAGCTGCAAGCGAGGTGCCACTCTTCCGCGGCGTGCCGTTGCCGGCGTCGGCTTTTTGGCCGCCTCCGTTCAAGCAAAAGCAGAGCCGCTTATGTGTATATATATATGTAGAAGTATAAACTATGTAGAGTTTTTGAATGCATGTATATATGCATCTATGTATCTATGTATATATGTATATGTATTTGTAGAAATACATGTATACATATATATATATGTATGTATATATATATGTATATATATATATATATGCATGTGTATATATATATACACCTGTATGTATATAGATGCTGCGCTGTTGTGGTCATGTTTGCCGTCGGGTTATGAACGAAGGGTTTGGCTTTACAGGGCTTGTGAATTCTTGCTTTGCGCTTGCCGTTTCGTATCCGAGGACAGCCGCATGTCTTTTGAACAAAGCAGGTGAGCGCGTCAGCGCAATCTCACTGTAGGCTATAGTGTCTGTGCGTGCTCTTGGAGGTATCGTTGGGTAGTTCTCTGGGGTCCGTGTGAGGTCCCAAAGATAGTAAGGTATCCTTATGGAAAAGGATCCTAAAAGGAACCTTCACTTAGAGAACTACCCCGTTTATCCCTGACCCGTTTATCCCTGATCTTTTCGGTGGTTAGGTGCGCGGTGCTCAAGGCGTTTTTGCAATGCCCGAAGCATACCCTAAAGCCTAAACCCTGAACCCTAAACCCTAAACCCTTGAACCCGAAACCCTAAACCCTTGAAATCTAAACCCTGAAACCTGAACCCTAAACCCTAAACCTGAACCCAACAATCCTGAAACCTAAACTCTAGGGCCTTTTGGGGATCTCCGCGCTTTATTGGAGTTGAACTGGGTAACTGAGGGTCTTCATAGTGCGGCTGTCAAAGAGTACTCATTCCCAAACCCCAACAGCGAGTGTCCCTCCCAGAACCGGATGACTTCGACGGTCCATATCCGTTTTAAGGCTTTAGGGCTTTAGGGGTTTAGGGTTTAAGGCTTTACGGTTTTAGGGTTTAGGGTTTTAGGGCTTAGGGTTTTAGGGTTTGGGGTTTTAGAGCTTTCCACACAGTTGGTAACTGGTAAAGACCTACATTAGAGCTAGATTTAGAAAGCGCATTCAAGTCATCCATCCGGACTGAAACTGCGTGCTGCGAATTCGTATGCGAGGATGCCTCGCTCCATGCATCGCCACCTAAACCCGAAACCCTAAACAAACTCAAGAGCAGTTTGTTGCCAAGTGCTGTCCGCCCTCGGTTCCTTGTGGGGTTCTATACAGGTTGTGGTCTTGTACTGATTTGGGGGCTTCGGGTTTAGGGCGTCGGGGTTCGAAGCTTTAGGCGATGGCGTAGATTCCTACGTGCAAGCTCTTGGCTCTTAAAACCCTAAACCACTGAACCCTAAAGCCCTAAAGCCCTAAACCCTAAACCCTAATGCCCTAAAGCCCAAAACCCTAAAGCCCTAAACCTCCCATAATGAGAATCGCCATGGACCATCTTCTTATCCCCAAGAAGTAAGTCAAAACTGCGTCGAACTGAGTACTAAATTCCTAAGAGACCTGCATCGAACTGGGCAATCTCACCCTAAACCCTAAACCCTAAACCCAAACCCTAAACCCTAAACCCTAAACCCTAAACCCTAACCGGGGCTCGGATCCGGAGCAAAGGGGGATCCATTGCGACGCAGCCGCTCTCAGGCCTCTGGGGGCCTTCAGAGGCATCTGAGGAACCACCGCTCGATTGAAGCTCCTGCTAGAGTGAGGTCCCTAAACCCTAAACCCCAAACCCTAAAAAATCTCAACCCTAAACCCTAAACAATCTCAACCCTAAACCCTAAACCCTAACAAAGCTCAACCCTAAACCCTAAACCCTAACAAATCTCAACCCTAAACCCTACCCTAAACCCCTAACAAATCTCAACCCTAAACCCTAAACTCCGAACAAATCTCAACCCTAAACCCCCGAAAAATCTCAACCCTAAACCCTAAACCCTAAAAAGATCTCAACCCGAAGCCCTAAGCCCTTAAAAGATCTCAACCCTTAACCCTAGACTCTTCAAAAAAATCCAACCCTAAACCCTCAACCCCAAAGAATCTCAACCCTAAACTCTTAACCCGGTTCCGAGCAGAGGAGGCTCGGAAAGGGGAAAAGCTCGGGGCGCATCCGCAGATCTGATCTCTGGGTTTAGGGTTTAGGGTTTAGGGTTTAGGGGTTTAGGGGTTTAGGGGTTTAGGGTTTAGGGTGCTGGTGCCAGTCGCGGTCATGCGTTTGAGTCTTCGGGCTTGAGGATGAGGGTCCATTATTATGATTGTTATTACCCTAAGGCCCTGAACTCGCACCCAGGAGCCCTGAAGCCTGTAGAATCCTGTAGATATGAGATGCATGCCCTGCATCTTACCCTAAACCTAGCAATTTCCTTCCACTCTAGCCCATCATCTATCTCAGGTCCTACGAAGGCCTCGTATAGCATCCGCATAGATCGCCTCTAGAACCCCTTGTGCAGGCCTTACACAACCCCTTCTAAGCGCTGAGCCCTAAGCACTATACCCTACCTCAACTATGTAAGGAAATCATAATAGGAGCCCTAAAAAAGCAGATTCTTCAGGGCCCAGGTATACCCTACCCCTGGAAAAACGCTGAAGTCATCACGCCCCCGCCTTCCTTTCGCTGCTTTCCTGGCCCTGGCAGCACGCCACTGGCGCCAGCAACGTTGGATTCGCAGGGCTGCCGCGTGCTCCAACCTGCTGCTTGCCGGGCGGTATAAGTTCCATATAGGGCAACAAACCCTAAGCCCTAAACCTTAAATAAGTTTCTGTCGGGGCCTTCTCAAACGTTTGAAGGGGCTTTCGGGCTTTATCCGGCTTTCGGGCTCAATGGTTCGCTCAAGGAGGTTTTCGGAAACTTCCGCGCTGGGGCTTCGGGTCTTGGGCTACGGTTTTCGGGTTTTGTTTTTTTTGGGCCTTGGGTCAAGGCTTTAGGGTCTATACGGTTTAGGGTCTTGGGTTAAGGTTTGGGTTGCAACCCTAAGCCCTAAACCCTTAAGGTTTGGGTTGCAAGCCATGGCCCCATTAGGTTTCAACGTCCGGGCCAAAAAACGGCACGAAAGTGCACCTAAGCCTAACGTCTCTACGACAAGAGCCCCATTGGAACCAACAGCAGCTCCGAAACGAAGGTTTACGTCTCTGTAGCTTCTCAGGCTGACTAGGGACCCTTCTTTCTCTCACAAGGCCCGAAACTCTTAACCCTGAAACTTCCCTAAACCCTAACCCCTAAACCCCTAAACCCTAAACCACTTTCGAGATGTTATGGTAAGAAAGGGAGAAGGTTTCGTCCAGTCCCAGGGTGCAGCCTCACAGAAACACAGTCCGAAACAGCCAGCAGGTCGGCACACCTCCATACTTGGATCGGTCAGAACGTGCTAGCACACGGGATGATAGAGGGGGCCTGACGGATTACAGCAGGGATTTGGTGGCATACTCGGCTATTTTTGCTGCAGACTCTACTGGAATTTTCCTATTCAGAGCCCCTAGATTCAGGGTTTTGGCTTTGCAGGGTTATGTTTGCGTGGCTGCTTGAAGCACCAACTCGGTGGGAATGTGGCTTGCAACCCTGAACCTCAAACCTTAACTTTAAACCCTTTCAGCCCTAAAGCCAACCCCCAAGGGCCCTAAACCCTAACCCTACAAACCCTAAACGTAACCCCCAAGGGCCCTAAGCCCTAAGCCCAACTCCAAGCCTCCTGAGCTCGGCTAGGGCAGCGCGAGGCAGAAAGTGGGCGGCCTGGGCCATCAGCGTAGGGCCCAATAAAATACCGCTTGATCTTCGGAATATACCGTCAGCCATAACTTTTGGAGTTCTACATTTTCAGGGACGTGGTGCTACAAGGCATGTAAGGCATTGGAACGTACCGTTCGCCACAGTGTTTAGAGAGTTCTACAATTTCAGGAATATAGTGCTGTAACTGTAAGAACCGATAGCCATAAATTTCAGAGTTCTACAATTTGAAGTATACAGTGCTGCAAGAAATGTAAGGTTTTGGAGTTGGCATTGGGTTTGGCATGTGCCCAAAAGATTTCAGAAGGCCGCGTCTTCGCCACGCTACGACACTGTGCAATCTTACCGACAACGACGAACTGCTGGGAAACCTTCATGCAGCTGAGAAATGAGCGACCTTGTTATGCAGTGCGGCATGGCGGCGGCGGCCGCAGCAGCAGCAGAAGAAATGATACTCTGAAGGTACTGTAGGAATTTAGTATATACCACAATTATACACCCAATGGGGCAATGGGCTATCTCGTGGGAAGGGTGCTTCCAGGGTTGCGGAACGTGGCACAGAGCGGGCACATAGAAAACTAGTTCCGAAAGTCCACCTTGACATTCATGTTAAGCTCGCATATCGCCTACGAACAGACAATGACAACTTCTCGACCCAAACTGCACCATGCTTGTATAACAGTGTATAACTACCCATAGGCTTCATAGTAGTTCCTTTGTTGCGGTTTATATTTAGAATTCTATAAGGTAATCCCACAAAGGAACTACTATGGAGCCTATGGGTACATAATACATACATGTGAACACCGCCAGAGACTCTCCCTTCCCGGCCTCACAGCCATAGCTGGGCCAGGCATCCAGCAGCTGCGCTGCCGGGACGAACTCCCGCGCGCCGGGGTTCATCGCCACATCCGGCTTTTCAGCCGGCTTGGGGAAGGAATCTTTATCGGGTGTACGGCACACCTCACATGCTGAAGCGTCTACCAGAATTCCTTAATCCCGAAAGCTAGTTCAGATAATCCCTGCACTCTAGAGCTACAATAGTGGCTTGAAGGACTGGAATACGGTGTTGGGGGCTGCAGGAAACCCTCGAGGACTCGGCGCTTCCAGTCCGGTCAATATAGCTCGTAGCAAGTTTCAAGCTTTAGGGCTTCGGTTCCTTTCTTCCTGTGGACATTTCGATTTCGACTTCTTGCTGATGCTTTAGGAGGCCCTGTTTTTGGGGTTGAAGGCTGCTGATTGCTTTAGCTCTCCGGTGCAAAACTTCTTCTTGGGAAACCGGGCTTTAGTGCGTGGGAAAGAGGGATCCCTAGATGTTCTAGGGACGCCCCGACACAACCCATAGAGAGCCCATGTAGAAACATGATGGAGCCTTTTTCCCTGTGAGATGGATCCCAGTTCGGGTTTCGCTTTTCAGATTCGGAGCGGAGGGTTTAGTGTAGGGGCCTTAATAATTGGATTAGGGCCTTGGGGCATAGTATACGATAGCTATAAGAAGGAACCCCAAAAATCCTATTCTAATTTTTAAGGCCCCTACATTAGGTGGAAGCTTGCGGGTGTAGGGCTTGGGGTTGCCGGCTTAAGGTTTGGCTTCAAGACCACACGTTGAGCGGGGCTCGGAAGCTTAGTTTTCAGAGTTTCGGGCTTAAGGTACGGATTAGGGTTTCGGGTTTAGGGGTTTAGGGTTTAGGGGCTTAAGGTTACAAGAGTATGGGGTTCAGAGGTGCCGGATGTTCAGAAGAGGCTTTGCCTCCTGTCTGTGCCACTCAAGGCTAGCGGCGCTGGAGCCATGAAACATGAACAGAACGAGTTTAGAGGGGGTTACCTTTAGGGTTTCGGGCTTAGGGTTTAGGGCCCTTGGGGTTACCTTTAGGCCTTTAGGGTTCAGGGCTTAGGGTTTAGGGCTTGTGGGGGTTGCCTTTAGGGTTTAGGGCTTAGGGCCCAAATCCCGTGCTTCATGATCCGCAAGGAAGATCCCGAATAGCAAGATCCCTAAAGACCGTAAAGAAAGAACCCCAGCAAAATTTCTACGCAAACCTCCTTGTGAGGGGCATTCTTGCAGACGTGGCTTTCTGAACAAATGGAGGTGTAAGATTTTTGGGTTTAGGGCTTCAAGTGTTGGGTTTAAAACCACCAGACGAGGCGCTCAAGCTCAAGACGGTGAGGTTCAAGGGTTTTCAGGTTTCGAGTTTCAGACCACCCGAACATGAACTCCAGGTTTGTGGTTTAAGGTTTAGGGTTTAGGGTGGGTTTAGGGTTTAGGGCTAAGCGTCTCCATAGGGAACCCACCTTTTTTAAGGTTTTGGAAGCCCCTGTGCCCCTT